TCTCCAACGACACAATAATGAGTTCGGATTTATCGTCACACCATTTAATCCAAGTGCTAGTATCTTCGAGTAAAGCGCTGTACAACAAGATGTATCACCATTATATCATACCATTTGATCCATGTGATACTCTTTCATACTGTGTCACTAAGAATGTGTAATAGTCATACTACTGATTCAAACCTATTTGAATACCAAACCACCCAATCCACACGATCACAAAGTTCACATATTTAGAAATCTGGCGTAGTATGCTTCACGTTTGGTCAGACACAGCATAAGTTTGTAAGTGCCGCCATGCAAAATAAAAACTTGCATCTTTCACGGACTGTTTTGTAAATGCAGAATTGTATAGCACAGGCGTCTTTCTTGTAAGTCCACACGGTAACGATCTCTGAGACGAGAAAGACGGGTATCCACATGTGCGCTGAAGATAAATCTCCAAGATCACTGGTTTCACACTGATTTCTCTACAAAAACCCTCGTCATATCTGCAGTTAGCGCTCAGTACAAACCATTTTCATCTACACATCTCTACTTTCCGACGATGTTCTTTTACTTGCGTCTAATTTTGCCTTTTCATTATCTTTGTTGTTCTTCTTCTTATAGCCTGTGCCGTGTTGCGTTGGTAGTCATGTCTTTAACATCAACCTGTACTTTTAATCAGTTTTCACACAGATGATCTTCGATGCCACGATGTCAGACTGCCGAGCGTCTTCTCTCTGAGTCTCCCTCTTCCTTTCTTGTACCCCTCCTACTTGCCCCCTGCCACTATGTACTCCAGTATGCTCCTTCTCATGGCAAGACCAAAGGAGGAAGACTGTCTGTTACCATTTCATATTTAACGATGGCCCAGAAAAGACCACCTGGCATGTAAAACTATCCTGCATGCAAACACTCAGCTATTTTCTCTAATCGTTTGATATATCCACGAACGATAACTAGCAACTTTTGTATAAATTCCATATTTCCCCCTTCGCCCACACCCCTCTCCATAACTGGTGACACCATATATCACGTATCTATTTACAACACCGTCGTCTAAATTACACAGTAATGGGCCACCGCTATCTCCAGCACAGGAATCTTTACCACCTTTCTTGTACCCGGCGCAGACTTGTTGCGGAGTGATAACGTAATCAAAGACTCGCTCACACTTCCGATGTCGCACCACAGGTACCTGGACTTTTTGCAGAGAGTTGGAACCGTAGAGATGGGTGTTCTTTAGTTTGCCCCAACCCACAATAGTGCAGAGCTGGTCAGTTGGTGGGACATAGCCTTCTTGGGGCAGACAAGCGTAGCCTGGTTGTGAGAAGCCGGAGGGCGCATGGCGGAGTTTTATTAAAGCAATGTCGTTGGTTATCGTCTGATAGTCGAAATCTGGATGTGGGAACTCTTTCTCTGACCGAATGTCCTCTTGGGTCGGATCAAATTCCTATTAAAGGGAAAACAACCGCACAATTAATATACATGATACTTAAATTCAGACAATTAATGAAAGAATGACAGATTAAATTGTTGGTCAATTTGACAAGAATGTTCTGGTATCAACTAACACAAAGAATCACGTTTAAATAGTTGAGATGAGATAATCTACATGACAGTACTCTGGAAATTCCCATATGCGGTCCGACCTCATCTTCGGCAACCAGCGAAGAGTTCAAATTCCTATGCTACCAGAGACAGTATGATTTCACCAGCATTGAATGTTGGGTAGATCCCCTGCAAATCTCCACTGCATCATTCTCTTCAGACCACGATGATCTACTCGTGATCCGCATTGTGCTGTTTACTCACACCGAAAAGGCCTTGACCGCATGTAGTTATCATACTTCTATTTACTTCTAAGTGGTGCAGAACCAGCCGTCCTGTTTCTGTCTATCTATTTGTTTTCCAACATATCTAAATACAATGGAGAAATATCTAAAGGACGCTAACTGCAAAATTTGCCATTCTGAATAGAGCATTCCTGTCTCCACCTTTTCTCACCATGCTTTCTGAGTCGGATACAGTAACAAGATGTGTTCCCTGTGTGGATTCCCGGGAATCATTTTAAATGACAAAGAATAAATCCACTGCTCCATAACAAACATGTCGTAGGTCGCGACTAATAACAGATGTTTCCTTCGAAGTCAGAGTGCATCTGCCTGAGAGGCAATGAACCAACAGCCAGCATACAAATAAGCCATATCTGTAAAACGGATATAAATTCAAAAGTCAATTCCTGGATCAAGACTAAAGTCCAGAAGCAGATAAACAAACTAGGACTTCCCACTAGAGTTTACAGGAAGTCGCCGTGGCAGAGCGTCTAGACGCTCGCCGAGGATCGGAAGGTCTTGGGTTCGCTCCCTGGCGGAGCCGGACTTTTTTTCAAAAATAACCTTGGCGCTCAGGTCCACCCAGCCTAGAGTGGGTACCGGGTATATTCCCGGAAAGTAAAGGCGGCTGGTGTGATGCTGACCACATCACCCATATAATGCCGATTGGTCTATAAAATATAGGTCTAGCCCTATACGCCCTATACGCCTTAAGGTGTGTAAAAGGGTTCGTTACTTTAACTAGAGTTTACAGCTGGTGAACGTAAAGAAGAAGAAAAAGAAAACGTGTGTGACGCTAGTTTTCGAGTCAGCTAAAGGGTATAATGACTGCCCCCACCCCCTTTCCCCGTCACCTTCATTCTCAAACTAGGTGTTGTGGTATCATACGCCAGACTAGAATAACGGAGAGAGAGAGAGAGAGAGAGAGAGAGAGAGAGAGAGAGAGAGAGAGAGAGAGAGAGAGAAAAAAGAGAGAGCGAGAGAGAGAGAGAGAGAAATATAGCATTTGGCACGGCGAAGACCATGATATTGACTGAACGACAACTTCAAGGGCAACTAGTGACTTAAAAATAGTTACTAGAGTACACCGGCCAAGCCCATAGATACTCTGTCTCTCATAGTCGTCTTTCATCCACACTAGCTCTTACAATACATCCTTTACCACATACACTCATTTTCATTATTACAACATAAATAGAAAGCCAACATCAGTGTTTTGTTAATCACAACTTCATCCATCTACAAGCTCGAGCGCTACACCGCCTTCTAGTGCAAACACACGCATATCCCATCCTTTGCTTTCTCACTAACTGATAATCAACCCGACAATAAATTTATGCACAACGAGCTGTGACAAATAGATGCTATGGTGACGTCACAGAAAGAGCACTTGGAACAATCCCAGTTGCGTTCCGTCCCCATCTTCAAAATTCAAATTCCTATGGATCAATAATCGAACTCTAGTACTTTATCGTTATCATCACACACACACACATTTGGTTTTTTAAATTGGTGTTGAGTTGATTCAAAACCGACATTAAAGCACTCGGGGCATTTCCATAATCGCTCCGTCTCTATCTTCAGCAGCCAAAGCAGAGTTCTCATCCCAGTGCTACCAGTAGCAAGCTGATTATACGTTTGTCTTACGTTTCCCCTTAAAGTCGAGTATCCCCTGGTCACTCCCCGCTGCACCACTCTCACTAGATGGTGATGATCAATCTTCAGTTCAAAAGTGTACACGTGCTCACAAAAAACTTTAACCATGTCTGCCTTATCAAGCAACAGTATTCCACCCAGTTGTACAGAGCCAGCCAGTCTGTCCGCATATTCATTTCCCAATACACCGGCATTTCCCAGAGAAAAGACCCAGATAATGCTCTTCATCCTTGACCTTCGAAGCGAAGCTTGCCACTCCGCACGAAGCATGCATGTCCTCACTTTCCTTAGTATGCTTTATGAGTCAGGTACAATTACGATGTGTTTATTTTGTGTTCTTCACCTCTATTATACTGGGGTAAACTAGTTAACAAACTTGCACTGCGATTTAACGATGTAAGCAATCCGTCAGTAAGTGAAAACTGATCAATCAATCACAAAAAAATTGTTTTCCAAATAGTCAAAAACATCCGAAGCTCAACTCTTCCAGTTGCAAATAGGCTGCCGTAAGTGAATAGTCCTGTTTAATGTAATTTCTTTTATTTTAACATTTGGTCAGATCTCATAACACTAAAGAAATGTGGCATCCTTATTGTGATTATCGTTGTGTATTTAGTTCATCACAAAGCATTAAAGAAATGTGGCATCTTTATAGTGATTATCATTGTGTAATTAGTTCATATGAAAATAATTCCCCACTGAGGAAATACTGCCTGTTTGAATTTCGATTCTTGGACCTTTGCTATCAACCACCAGCTGCCGAAGAATGAATGAATGAATAAACCAAGAATTGACATCACTGCACTCGGGACATTCCCACACGTGCTCTGTCTTTTTCTTTAGTAGCCAACGAAGAGCCAACATGCTAATAGTACCAGTTGCAACTCGATTAAAAGTCTGCCTATGTTTCCCCTTCAATGTTAAATATCTTCCAGAAGCTCTACTAAATCCCCGTGGATTTCGTCTTTTAATGTAATGATTTATCTGTCTGTTTCATCGCATTGTCTGTTTGATCCCAGAGAGTCTTCACTTCGTCTGCTTTATCATATAGTAGTTCACTGCCCAGAGGAGGGGCAGGCTCAAATCTAACAACCTGCTCATTACCTCGCACAGCTGAATATCCTGGACAGAACATCTGATTTGGCCAGGCGTATATCGTAGGAGAGCGAGCTTCTCAACATAACTTCCTTTAGACCACTATTTATAGTTATAACATTTTGAGTATTTTACTTTGCCAAAAAGTACTGAAAATAATTGTTCCTAATTATTCATGCGTTCAAGTTTTTCTATGTGGGTGTGAGATAATGTTAGCAGTCCGAAACCACACTCCATCACCAAAACAATCAGTTGGTTGATTTTCTCTTCCATGTCTGTTGATGGTATCCCACAGGACTGATAGAGACGAACATACCAACATCTGAACTGTCGCGCTACTAATGTTACTGCTGTTCAATATTATTATTAATTATTATTATTATAATTATTTCTAAATAGAAGTTAAACACCAGGTTACTTAAAGTCACTTACATCGATGTCATGTTCTCCTATTCTGACAATGAGCTTTCTTCTTTTGCCTTTCTTCCTGACACAATGTGCAGCTGTCAGGACCCATCTTGGGGCTATCAAAGTCCCTCCACAGTACTGCTCCTGGACTTTAGTCAGTATCGCCACCTGCAGATGAAAAGAACGAGAGAATACTCCATCAACGTGATTTCAAAATGAAGCCAGGGAAAAAAATGTAAAGATCCCTTTTCACTCCTTTAGGCGTATCCGGTATGTGGGAAGAGCTCTCATATTTTCACAGACCATCGGCACTAGGTGGGTAATGTGGTCAGCATTACGCCTACCCTCTTTACTTCCCCAGCACAGCCATCCTGGTACCCATTTTAGGCTGGGCTGACTTGAGACGCCCCACGCAGCCAGCAGTGGGTTTCGATCGCGGTACGTTGGGTAGACAAAGAAGAAGCAGAATTACTGACATCCTAAAAGATGTGAACATCAAGGAAGATTGGATAGTAAACAGCATCTTGTCTTGTAAACTTACTATTTTGGCCATTTTATGCGCCAAGGTCGAAGTTGAGGGGAAAAGAGGGGGGGGGGGGACCTTTAAAAATATAGGTCTAGCCCATATATTCCTAATACGCATAAAAACGTGGAAAAGGGACCTTTACCAAATGATTGTGTTTTCATTTTCTTGAAGAGAGGTAGGCTGCGTGGTCTCGAGGCATGGTGTCCGCCTCGAGTGCTTGAGGTTCCGGGTTCAATCCCTGATAAGGGCTGGGATTTTTTTCACGTGGACTTTGACTTCTAGTAATTCTTTCTGGTCTCTGGGTAGTGTCGGCTCTGTGGCTAAGTCGATGCGAACGCTTCGTAATGCCGGGGTGCCGGGTTCGATCCCAGCGCCTTGCGTTGGTTTCGACAGTGGGATCAAGGGGCCGACCGTCCAGTGGCAATGGCAAACTAATGGACGTAAATTTGCCTAGAGAAACCACACAACAGCCAGGGCTGCTGGGGTTGGTTCTGCAATGTCCTGAAAAAGATACGCAACAAACCTCTGGGTAGTATGATCGGACGCCCGTGTGCATTGATGCGTATGTACAAAATCATTTGGCAGTTGGAAATCGAAAATAGTATAGCCTAACGTCGCTGCCTGGGCAAAATATGGAGTTAAAAATCTGCCACAAATTTTTCAAGACTCTCACCGGTGCTACCAAGCCTGTGCATTGTGCTGAACGTCTTCGGACTCATACTTGAGTTAGAAAAAGAACTGAGCCCTTATGGGTTACTACTCGTGTGCCATGATGTTGATCCGTTGTTCAAACCTTCATTTTCGCCTCAAGCCCGCAGTGAAATTACCATATTGTACATATGTATAAAGAGATTTCTGTTATCCGTCTTTCCAATCATCCGCCACAGCCCTGGTCTGGACGGTTGACGGTTAATCGAAGTTTTTACTATTCTCGCTTTTCGGCTGCGGAAAGGTTACCTTCGGTTGCTAGAAAGTGGACACGACTTGGCCAGAAATCCGACTCGAGTCCTCCTCCCAAGGATGGAGAAGTGAAGTGTCCAACTTGAGTGCTGAGTGCACCCACTTGAGAACTGCAGTAGGTGAGCAGGATACATTCCCCAACATTTATTTATCTCGAACTGGACTAGCAAAAGTGTATAATTATGGTGTTTTCTCTAATTCGCAGACGCGTGTCTGTCGTTGTCCCTCACTTCCCCCTCAACCTCCTTCCCCCCATTATGAATTAGGTGCTAGTTTATTTTATGGGCAGTAAATTTGGAATTGTTGATACTGAGGGGATGCGCTGAAAATGGATATCAACTAATAATTTGTGCTGAAAACGGGAGATCCTAACTTATTAAGTTTAACCCTCTTCCCGTTCCAACCCCAATCTTTTTTCTAGGTCACCTGGGTGGAAGGGTTAACTGCTCGCTCAACAGTAGTATTAAAACCCGAACCAAGAAATAAACTGCAATGGAAAAAAAAGAACATTCACATCAACATATTTCAGGTGTTAAAAGCATCTAAAAATATTAAAACTTTTAAGGTTTATAGATATATAACTATAAGTGTATCTAATAAGCTCTACAGATATAATTATAAGTGTATCTAAAAAGATCTACAAATATAATTTTAAGTGTATCAGCTAAGATCTTCAGACATAGCTAGAAGTGTATCTAATAACCTCTACAGACATAATTATAAGTGTGTCTAATAAGCTCTACATATATAATTATAAGTGTATCTAATAAGGTCTACAGATATAATTTTAAGTGTATCTAATAAGGTCTACTGAAATAACTATAAGTGTATCTAATAAGGTCTACGGATAATTTGGTAGTCTGGTAATCTGGTTGTCTTAGTTTCAGCTTCATAGCAAACGGGTCACCACATCTTTGCTCCGCTCCTGTGCCAACGAAAAATACAGAATGTTTTCTTGTGGAAAGATTGACAGACTGCTGTCTCAGCATATCTAGCATACACTCGCATTAAAGCATACGGTAGCCATCCGAAGTGCTAACACAAACAGTCCAACATTAGAAATGCAGTTCATCATTGATGATAGCAGAACTTGTCGCCAACAGATCAGCAGTTGCCCACGCGATCAATTTTAATCACATACGGGCACCGCCAACATTGTACGATAGGCATCGCGCCATTTTCTGAATCTACAATTCATACCACCACGTTGGTCACAGTCGAAAAAACATTCAAAATGCAATCCGCAGCTCACAGTGTCACGCCATGCATTCAATTCAGAAGCTGGGCGACGAAACTATATCCAGTCTACAAATGGAGCAAAAATGCATGTGCCAAAAAATTTGCCTCTGCTTCGAACAGTGCCGCTTGCCTAGCGTCTATTTTAACCGGAACCGCAGATAATTTACCTCCGTGTGGGTTCCGGGACCCTATTATAGGTAAATCAAGAATAGACCCACTGCCTACCCAAAAGCATGTCGTAAGAGTCCATTAATTTGGAGCTTCCTGTGAAGTCGGAATGCATCTGCCTGAGAGGCAAGGAACCAAACGTCTGCACAAAGATGTGTCAGATCTATCAAACAGATACACATGCAACACTCACTTTTTGGAAAGAACTGCAGTCAGAACTGGACGAACAGCCAAAACTTTCCACCAGAGTTTACAACTGGTGAACGCAAAGAAGAAGAAAAAATATATAACTTACTTATATCCCACAGAGTTCTAACAACTGAAATAAGACCGATGTGGCTCTGTATTGCAAGCAAGCAAAACTGGTGCTGCCATTCAAGTCGGTAACGGAAGAGTTCAAGGTCGGTAAAGTGATGTTCGCGATGATGTTGCGTGAGTCCTTAGACCTCACTGTGGCCGCTGTTGAACCCGCTCTCAAGACAAGCACAAAATGGATAGTGTGAGATGCGACAGATTCTGCCCAGAATGCAATAAAACTTAAAGAAGTCATGGGATACACTCAAACCGACCGACGAGGCCTAGGGCATGGGAAAGTCTGTTGGTGGTCAAAAGCCTCAGCGAAAGAGCGCAGAGACATGTTAATAGAACAGACCCGGAACAACGAAAACGAGACTGGTTAAAAAAAAAAAAAACGCCCAGCAATCGCAGCAAGGCCAATGGATCGGCCTCAAAAGCGCCTTGCCACGAAGTCTCACATGGGGAGAGATTTGGCGAATTACCCCGCTGCGGTTGAACTTTGTAATTAGGTCTGCACATGATGTTTTACCCCCTGGCGCCAATATGTTGAAATGGCGTGCGACTACCGACCCGGCATGCCCACTATGCAGAGCTAAGCAGACGCTTGAGCACGTCCTGTCATCGTGCAAGAAATCCCTAGGTAAGGGAAGATTTACTTGGCGGCACAATACAGTCCTGAAAGAGTTAGGGAACATTGTGGACCAAGCTAGAATGAGGACCAATGCTAGGGCCAGTTCTACGGTCACCCCTATGCGCTTCATCAAAGCTGGGCAGGTCTACAAAGGTACGAGAACTAAAATCGCATACGCTCCATCTGTGCTTCACTGTGCCAGGGATTGGCTACTAGCGGGCGACTTACCTGGCCACGAGAGGTACCCAAAGTTAATCCGAAAGACTGGCCTGCGACCCGACATAGTCCTACACTCTGCGGAAAAACGTCAGCTCATCCTGATCGAGCTGGCCGTGCCGTATGAGTCGCAAATAGACAAGAGCCACATGTACAAGCTCGAGAAATACAGTGACATGAAGGGATAACATTAGGGCCTGGTGTCATGAACCAGGTCGGCCCACTTTTTGAAACTGTTTAGGAAATAACGGGCCGAAACAATTGTCGACGAAGGTTTTCTACTGACGACCGGTAGACCCCTGCTGTGCATGCTTCCCTGTGGAGTTTGTCTTATTATAGCATGCCGACTCCTAGCTGCCTACTTAGGAAGGGGATGGAGCACGTGTGGGAATTTAATAAGTGCAGTGATTTCAGTTCTTGATTCATCAATAACTGGAAAAAAAGAGTCACTGCCCCTCTCCCCCCCCCCCCAAATAAAACAAAAAACGCATGTCATAAAGACGACTAATTCAGGGTGTTCCCTTCATTTCACAGAATTTAATTTTATTGAATCAAGACCAATATCCAGAAATGAACGAACAATCAAAACTAACATTAAAAAAGAATAAATGTTACGATCTGAGAATACCCCCCGATATCATATCTACCTGCCAACAAATGCACGGTATTAAGGGAAAGTGTAGTGTTGCAAAGAATGCGCTCAACCGATAAAGCAGAAGCCATGTATGCGGAGAAAGTAATTCTGACAACTTCTCTGAATTTCAGTGTTGTATCATCTTTGTATGATAGAAACCCCAGAATTTCAGATGGATCAACATAAGGAGCGCAAGGTATTACTACCTTCTTTCTTCACAAATGTGCAGACACTTTCTGTTAATCTTATTCTTTTTGTACCTCTGGAATTCGTGATAAGTCACCTCCCGAATAAACTCTAGTTTAAACGTACTTGGGCTACGTTTTCCTATTCCTTCCTCGCTTCTCTAAAGTCTACTCTATTGCGTAGATGTTCTTGAAGATTCTATGAATGCCAAAGAAATCAAGATTGTTTCTATAACCCGCAGCCGTGAGACAGCTAATTATGTGATTCTTTGATATTTCATATTATTGTTGATGTTCTTACCCACCTACCTA